TTTTTTTTGTAAACCGAGATTGATCTCATTATATTTTTCGTTTCGAGAATTGTTGTTTACTCCACACAACAATAAGAAAATACAAAATTTGGTGTTATGACTTTCTTTCTTTTACTCCGGCCTTCCCTATGCATTCTTAACTAAAATCGATCAATTCTGCAAAACGGAATAATCTTTGTACTAATCTTTTTACTTGAAAAAATGCTCATCTGGTACATTTTGTAACTTTTCAGGACTAAGCTTCTCTTATTAACATGGAACATATAATGAGGTAAGAAAAATGCTGAATAACACTCTCTAAGTACAGTAAGATCATGGGTAAAAACCAAAAGGACGGAGGAATGATACTTAGATAGTGGACAAATATAAGTGACCAAGGCATGGAATTACAGAAACTCATGAGGATTTGTGATACTGCGATTAGTTCAGCACCAGTTCACCACGGTAGTTACCAGCGGGGACTTTGGAGGTGTCAACCTGAAAAGAACATCACAATTTTTGGGTTAATTGGAGTATAATGCAATCCCAAAAATCTGAGGAACACATCCAAAAAGGTGATATCTACTCACATCATCGAAATAAGCGTGATGCAAAGCTCTACGTGAAGAGATTCTCTTGGATGGATCGTACACAAGCATAGACTGAAATATGTGTTCCATTAAAGGAGACAATGAATTGTAAAAAGTACAGTAAATTAGAAAACATGTAATTAGGAGCTTTGAGCAGTAGATAAAAAATGGGAATGCTCAGGGTCATATGATCAATTGAATACCTCAAGCAGATTGATCGCATCAGGATCCATAAAGTTAGCCATTTTCTCGGCTAGCGAATTACCCTTCCATTTTGGGAAAGTTGGCTTATAGTCTGGAAGTTGACTGACTCCAGGCCATTCTGCTTCAGTTGGCGTTCCCAATATTCTAAGTACCGAAGATATAGATTCCCTTGAAAACTGTGATGAATCGGAAAAATTAAGTTTTACAAACCTGAAAAGGCGGAACAGTTCGTCGATCTCTGAATCACCCTGAAACAGCGGCTTTTTGCTTGCCATCTCCGCAAAGATGCAACCAATTGACCACATATCGACACCCATTGAGTAACGCTGTGTTCCAAGTAGGATTTCCGGAGCTCGATACCACAGCGTCACAACCTCAAAAAAAGATGAATCATTGCTGCCAATGAACAATGATAATTAAGCTAACACTCACCTCATGAGTATACACTCTGACTGGAATACCAATTGCACGTGCTAGTCCAAAATCGGCAAGTTTTATTGCACCTTTTCCATCTACAAGAAGATTCTGTGGTTTTAAATCACGGTGAATCACGCGACGTTGATGAGCAAAGCAAACAGCTTGACAAATCTGGAACAAAAAGATCTAAATCTAGCATAATAGTGAGATCAGGGAAAAATTAGTTAAGCAAACCTGGAACATGTAACTTTTACATTCAGCAGGTGGTAGACGTTTGTCTGCTGGCAGCTGATCCAAATATCTTTTGAGATCCATTGAAAGAAATTCGAAAATGAGGTAAAGGCGATTTTCCTGAATATAAAAAAGTATTATATTTTGTTATTACAATTAGGAGAAACAAATGAACTCATGTTTAGACATTTAGGGGAATGCGCTGGAATGTTTTGATGTTTTCGATGCGGCGAGAAACATTTCGCTATAGTGTAATAGAAACATCTAAGACTAACCTTTTTGCCTACGCTTACGCACTCTTCCTATTAGGTGATTCTATGCTCAAGAGTTTCTAACAAATTTCCTTTACTAAAAATTCTTTCCCCAAGTTCAACGAAAAGTATAGAATAAAGAGATAGTTTTCTATACTTGAACTTTGCCCAATCTGATTGAAATTTGTCATACTAAACGCACATTTTATTCTTCGCTAAGAGAAGATTTTCTAGAAAAATCTGTACCTGCATGATGACGTCTTCCAGTCCCACAACATTTGGATGCTTGAGTTCCCTCAGCAAAGAAATCTCGCGTATTGCGGTTGATGGAACACCCTAAACAATTTTTTCTTTTTCCTAAAAAATATATGTGTATATAGAAATAAATTAACCTCATCTTCCCCCTCTAAACGGATTTTTTTCATAGCCACAAGTTTGTTGGTTTTCTTATGCTTACCTTTGTAAACAACACCATAAGTGCCTAAAATAAGATTATGTTTTTCCATATTCTGAGCGGAATACTTAGCGACAAATTATCAAATTTGCAAATTACCTTCACCGATCTTATCTAACTTCACAAACTCATCTAGAGAGTAGTGTTCGCCTGGTGGAGGTGGCATACTGAATCTGAAAAGCTAATGATCTGTAAACATTTTTCTACTGGCGGTTTCAGACAGCGATGCAATCTTGCCAATCTAATTGAGATAGAGGAGTCAAAAGCAGTTCTGAAAATGTTCAAATAACAACGATGGACAAAGAAATAATTTGGTAATGCCTGAAGTCTTTACAGTGTGATAAAAACTCTCTCTCCCTCAAAAAAGGTTCTAAT